GCTGGGGTCCGGAGTCGAGGGGGCTGCCCGAAGCTGGTAGCGCTGGCTCGGGCAGCTTGGCTCTTAAACAGAGCCGAAGTCTGAGTCCGGGTAGGAGCAGAGCAGCTGGAGCCAGGGAGGAGAAGTGCCCGGCAGGGGGCGCAGGGTCCGGAGGCATAGGGGCTGCCCGAAGCCCGAGTGCTACCGGCTTCATGGTTTGCCGGGCAGCCTCCAGACCCTGCGCCCCCAGCTGGGCGCTTCCCCTCCCGGGCTCCAGCTGCGCTGGGGAAGCGCCAACTGGGGGCGCAGGGTCTGGAGGCTGCCTGGCAAACCGTAAAGCCGGTAGCGCTTGGGCAGCCCTTTTCGCGTGGCTGGGAGGGAGGAGGAGGAGTTAGGGCGGGGACTTTGGGGAAGGGGCGGAGAAAGGGCGGAGTTGGGGTGGGGCCGGGAAAGGGGCAGGGCTAGGGCCCATGGAGTGTCCTCTTTTTTATTTTTTAAATATGGTAACCCTAGTGGCAGCTGAACCAAAGAATCCCACAGAACTTCTACAGCTAGATCCTTGGAAGTGCAGTTGTTGATCAAATGTTCAGGATTACCTAGTTTAAGGATGTACCAGTTTCATTTCATGTCTGGTGTAAACTACAGTACTTACCTAAGCACCAATCTGACAGAAATATCCAGCCTGCTAGAGCACTAGCCATAATAAAGGGACAGACTCTCAGAAATGTCATCCCACATGACTTTATTCCTTGATGTCCCTGGAATATGCAAAAGAGACAACATGCTCTCTTGCTTGACTTTAATTTTTTTTCCTTACTTCATTTCAGGTTTATTGCTGTCTTATAAACAAGGCTACTGACAATTTAGGCAGATTTTTTTATTTAACTTGAAATATTTATATTTAGTATTTATTTTGAGTATTTTAATTTATAAAATTATGAGATAGAGTTTCTTGTAAATGCTATAAAACAGGATTCAGCAAGCCATATATATTTATCAAGGATTCCAACATATGTATCTTAATTGAAATCTGACAACATTTTGGGGCTTATTTATTATTAGTGAAACACTAACAGTATGCTTCCTTCTGTACAAAGTGCAAACTAAACATGGGCACCAGTCCTTATGCATAAATTTAAATTTGAGCATGAGTAAGTGTATGCAAGATCAGTAGTTTACAATCCAAACACCCAATCCTTCAATTAACAGTCCACCCATAAACAGTCAATTGCAGGATTGGTCCCAGAAGTGTATTTCCAAAAAATCAGACAAGACTAGAGAACTCAGAAAATAATTATAACATTTAATATTTCATATATATATCTATATCTATATATATATATATATATATACTACAAAATAATTAA